TTCAGTATTGAAACTATATATCTCTCACTAATATTTGAAAGTGGGATAAAATTTGATTGTTTAGAGGGTCGGCTTTATACAAGCCGCACGCCTATCATAGTCTCATACTCATTTTGTCCCATGAAAAACCTTCTTTCTCTAAATGACAACCATGCCCTGCCTGATGAGAGTGAGATGGAGGAGGAATGATTACAAAATTATTCTCCTTTTCTCGAGCATATTTATAATGTCACAACAAGATACGATGGATCCGCTTTGCTCGTACGTACCACCCAAAGAAATCTCCTTCCACGTGATTTTGCTAAGACGAAATTACTTTAATGCCCCTGCTCCTGTGAGAAAAATGAGACAATGTTAATATACATTATTCCAATTAAAAATAAACGAAAAATTCATCATTCTTTTGGTATATCGTTAAAATAATTTAAAAATATGTATACGCTCAAAAAAATAAAATCCCATCATAGGGCACCCAGGTAACATCATAAGCAACAATAAAGTAAAAAAATTCGGCGGGCCAAATGGCAGCTTCAGGCTAAACAGTAGCATTTTTTTTTTTACAAGAATATCAACCACCATGTTGACTTCAAGAAAAATGTGGGAGATTAACGAATTAGATTTTAATAATTTAAAATTTACCCTTTTTAAGCTATTCCAACTCGTGTCTTTTTATTTGTATTCAAAATTAAATCAAATGACAAAAATAAAAATATAAAATGATTTATCTCTAATGTATACTTGGATAATTTTACCAAAATAAAATTAACATTATTTCCAGCATCAGAACAACTTTTCTGGTGGGCTGGATGTTGTTTTTACAATATAAATTGACGCCCTACATAAAACTATTTCCAATAAATAATCCCCAAGTTAATTTGCCTTTCCTACTCAATTTGGTGGCACTTTTTTTAGTACTTGTTAAGCTTCTGTTCTTTTGGGTACGTGACGTAGATTTAATCTATGAAATGCTGGGCCAAAAAAGCAGGCCCATTTATGACTGATTTTTTTAGGTAACTATTTATGGCTTTTTTTCAGATCTAAGGACAATAGATCTTCTGACCCGGAAAAGGAAATAAAGAAAAGAAAATTGCCAAAATTCTCAATTTCTTGGATGTCAACTTAAATTGGTACATAGGGCCTAGTTTCAGAAAATGCAGAAAAAAATATAATAATTCCATTATTACCATTAATTTCCATAAATACCTTTAACTTCCATAAATAGCGGTATCAACCGTAGGGAGTAGGGACGGAGTGCCCCACGCTATAAGCTAGTTCATTAAAGACACCGGCATGCCCTCCAAGTGCAAAAAGAGACGAAGGAAACAGTTTATAATTAAGGAAAAAGTTTATATAAGGGCGAGGCCTTAAACAATCAAATTAAGGCGCACCTCAAAAATTTTATTACAAGAGCTTCTTTTGTCGAATTGATCATCTCGACCTCAAGATGCATGGACAAGAGAAAACATGGATTTCAAGTCTTGGAAATAGAGTATCTTGTAATGCATTTTCGAACTGTCAATTTTCAAGTGTTCATAAATGTGCTTGATCTACATTATTTTTAAAGTTTTAAATTTTATAGCTAAAGATAAAAATAAACTTTTAAGACCATCACAAATAATTCCATTATTGAAACAATTATTTGAAGATGCATCTTACTTTGATTGTTTAGGGCCACAGCCTTATACAAACCAGACATTTTGTATAAGGGTGCGGTTTGTATAGAGCCGATTCTCTAAACACATAAAGTAAAGCGCACCTTCAAATAGTGTTGAGAAATGCAGTTTTAATACTGGACATCTTTGTGATAGCCTTAAAATATATTTTCACCTTTAATTATACAATTTAAAGCTTAAAAAATAGTGTAGATCGAGCATATCTATGAAAATTTGAAAATCTTGAAAATTGACGGTCTTAAAATGAATTTACAAGATGAACTATTTCTAAAACTCGAAATCCATTTTTTTTTTTCATGTCCATGCATTTTGACCTCGAGATTATCAATTTGAGGATACTTGGACATCAAAACAACCTCTTCTAGTGAAATTTTTGAGGTGGGCTCTAATTTAATTGTTTAGAGCTTCGATTCTATATAAACTTTTTTTTTTATATAATGCATCATATTCCTCAAAACTCCACAAGAAAAAGCTCATTTAACATGATAAAGCCTTTCAATTGATTATCTCAGCCTCGAGAGTTATGAATATGAAAAGAATTCAAAGTCTTAAAAATAATGCCTCTAATAATATGTGATCTAGATTTTGTAATAATCCCACAGTTTATTCTAAAAACCAAAAAAAAAAGAAGGTAATTAATGCGGTTTGCCTCCTTGTTTTTCCATGTTTAGGATGGGTCATCAATCTGATCCAATTCTATACTTTTTAGGAAAAAAATTGGGGCCTAAAAGATACTCCATCTTGAAAGTCATCTTAGATTTGTAATCTTGGCCATCTAATTTAGCGGATGCTAACTTTTTCTTGTTGCACCCCATTTGGAGCTCCATATCTATTTTTGTAGGGCAAAAAAAAGGATAGGATGGGTTTAGTATAATTTTAGTCGTAATTACAAAAAGGGAAAAGTTTATATAGAGCCGAGGCTCTAAATAATCAAATTAGAGCCTACTTCAAAATTTTCACTAGAAGAGGTTGTTTTGATGTCTAAATACCCCCAAATTGATCATATTGACATCAAGATGCATGGACATGAGAAAAAAAATAGATTTCAAGTTTTTGGAAATAGTGTATTTTGTAATGCATTTTTGGACCGTCAATTTTCAAGATTTTAAAGTTTTTATAGATCCGTCGATGCACACTATTTTTGAAGGTTTAAACTTTATAAAGAAAGTTGAAAATATATTTTAAGGCTATCACAAAGATTTCTAGTATTGAAACTACATTTCTCAACACTATTTGAAGGTAGGCCGTAGTTTGATTGTTTAGAGCCTAGGCTCTATACAAACCGCACCTTTAGATAAAAAGGGAAAAGTTTATATAGAGCTAAGCTCTAAACAATCAAATTTGAGCCCGACCTCAAAATTTTACTAGAAGAGGTTGTTTCGATGCTCAAATATCTTTAAATTGATCATCTCAACATCAAGATGTATAGCCATTGAAAAAAAATGGATTGCAAGTTTTGGAAATAGTATATTTTGTAACGCATTTTTGGACAGTCAATTTTAAAGATTTTCAAGTTTTCATATATATGTCAATCTACACAATTTTTGAAGCTTTAAACTTTGTAAATAAATATGAAAATATATTTTAAAACTATTACAAAGATTTTCAATATTGAAACCTCATTTCTCAATACTATTTGAAGTTAGACTTTAATTTGATTGTTTAGAGCCTGGGCTCTATTCGAACCGCACCCCATAAAAAATGTAAACATTAATTTTCTTCATTTATGTTCTCTTTTATTTGTATCATTTGGGTGAAAACCAACCAAAAAAAGAAAAACCGTTAAAGTTCCTATGTATCATATTGGTTACGCATTTTGCAGCTTTGGTATTGGTGTAGGGATTGCAACGATGAAAGGTACATTAGAGATTTAGGTAGCCGCGGGAGGCTATTTTAGTCATTCTGGAAGTTACCGTTTGAGGAGCAGTGGGAGCTTCTCTCGGAACGAGGAAAGCGGCGTTCTGCAAGGAGGCATGTGCGCCGTTCTGCATCACTGCTTTCGTTAGGGCAAATCCCAAACAAATGCCCCTATGGCATACTCAAAGTTTCGAAATCAGCCCTTCTGTTCAAGAAATACCTCCTTCACGAATATTGGAAAATAGAAATAAGGGGGCAAAAATGTTTTGACGTTTGGGTATTTAGCTTTAAACCGGTTGGTTGCGCCCTTTCCCTCTTCTTTTTGTTTAATTCTTTTTTCAATTGCTTTTGATAATTAATAATATTGATATTTAAGCAGCCAACCGTGAAAATAGATTGTCTTCCTTTTCTTTTGTGATTTTAATAAATTCTGGTTCATTAAAGTGTGGATAAGGCCTTCGAATTCTTGGCTTCCAATCCTTTAATAATATTGATATTTAAGCAGCCAACCATGAAAATGGATTTTCTTCCTTTTCTTTTGTGATTTTAATAAATTCTGGTTCATTAAAGTGTGGATAAGGCCTTCGAATTCTTGGCTTCCAATCCTTCAATAGCCTACCGAAAATGATTAGAGTGAGAGAGAGTACAAGGTCCGACAACAGAGGGGCTTAGTCTAGGGTCTTTTGGCCATGGCCCAGCCCATATTAGGCCAAACACCGCTAGCCCATGGCCCAGCCCATACTAGCCACAGGTCTTGACCTAATGGTAATTAAAAAGAGGAAGTTTATTTGTATACAGTTCAGGTTCTAAATAATCAAATTAAGATGCACCTCAAATATCCATTGTAAGAAGTTTCAATGTCGAAAAACCCTCAAATCCAATCATCTCAACTTTTAGATGTATGGAGTTTATGAACATAAAAAATTGACTTAAAGTCTTGAAAATAATGGCTAGACGGTTAATTTTCAATTTTTAAGAGTTTATATTTTTATAAATTAAAAATGAAAACAAATTTTGAGGCCATCATAAATGTTTTCGATATTGAAATGAGGATGTTACTTTGATTGTTAGGACCTCAGCTTTATACGGACCAACCCTTAAAAAATGAAAACGCAAGTAAAAAAACTGGGGTGGGCCTGGATTTAACGGGGCGGGGCGGGGCGGGAGACCTCATGTAGATGTATGGAGAGAAAGAGAGTTAGGTGGAGTAGATGAAGCATTGGACGGGACAAGCATGAGAATGTTGACAAGGAGAATCAATTACGTTACGAGTGATTGGCTGTTGAGAATCAAAACTCACTCATGAGAAAGGGACGGAGCACTATACTATTATTCATCGCAAAATCTGTAGTCCCTCACTGCACTGCACTGCACAACTTGAACCCACATCGAAGCATCACTATAGCGCCGAGCCCTAAGATGCAAACTTACGCTTTCCCCCTAGCTTTAGAGAGAGAATACTTTTGCAGCTCATCCCTTTATCCACATCTTTCTCTTTCTAAAAGTATTCAAAGCTTTGGTTTTTGGCCGAAATTCAATATGAAAAATTAGGTCAAATTCAAACTACTCAACTGAAAGACCGAAAAGGGTATGTTGGTCATTTGGTTTTAACTGAGCTCAGGAGTACCTGCACTGCACTGGAGTAGTAGGTATTTCTGTAAGTTTAATCTGAACATTGGTCACTCTGCTTACACCGCTCCCTTTCTTTTTCGTTTTTACATCTTAGGTAACCATGGCCCGGCCACGATACAGCGCCGATGTCTCTTTCTCTCTCTAGCCCAGAGTTTCTCTCTCATCGAAACCCAAATTTTCCTCTTTCTTCTTATACGTTTTCTTCTCTTTTCTGAGGTATTTATTTTTTCCCAAATGTTTCGGTTTTACTCATACACCACCTTTTGCTGTTACACTTTTGGCATTCCTCTCTCTCTTTAAAAGCGAAGTCTTAAGGCCGCTTTGTATCTTTGCTGGTTCAGATCCTTGGGCCTTCAGATAAGTCTCTCTCTCTCTCTCTCTCTCTCTCTCTCTCGCGTTTGGGGTGCATTTCTTACCTATCGTATTTGCTGTTAATTTGTGTTGGGGTGGCAGAGATCTGGAATTTTTTGCCCCTTTTGTGCACCATGAGAAACCTGTTTCTCAATGATTCATGTAAAGAGCCACAGTTACATGCACTGAATCCACAGTCATGGCTTCAGGTTGAAAGAGGAAAGCTCTCTAAATTCTCTAATCACTCATCTTCCAAGTAAGTATTCGTAGCCCAGTAATTAAAACCTGGGTTTCTGCCTTTTAATTTATCTGTATTCTCTTTGTAATTTTGTTTTGATAATTTGCTATTAATTCGAGTAAGTATTTGATTTTTTTTTTCTCCCGTATATGTTGCACTCAAATCGTTTATCCATTTGCTGATTGTATTAATTTGTTTTGCCATTAGCTGCTGCATCAAAATAGGAAATGCCCCAAATTCTGCCCTGATTGGCAGTTCACTACTGATTACGTTAGCTGATTTGGCTGTAGCCATTTTATTCATGTAGTTAGAAGTCAATACAACCCCTTTGCCTCTGTTTTCATCTTAATTTTTTGTTGAGGTATATACTATTTTATCGTGTTTATCTCTTATTTTTAATTAAGTGGTTTCAGATTCATGCTTGTTAATTTATTTGGGTGTCAATCGCTTTATTCAAGCAACTAAATCCGTTTTTTTTCTGGTAATCTGTTACTCTTTGATGAGTCACTTTTTCCTTATTCTAGTAACCGATATGGATAATCAGCAAAATACCCCCATTTCTTCCAAGTGAGTGATCCGCTCCCACTTTTCAACCATGAACCTCAGCTCATCCTATATAGAAAAAATAATAATGAAAGAAATGAAAAATTAGAAACCGCATCTGATTTATCGTTTCAAGTTTATTCAGTGCTTATTGGTTCTCTCGGTTTTGGTATCCAAGTATAATGATATGATTTTATCTATTATTGAATACGCAGCCACTGATATGGATAGTACCTATTTCTATGATTATTTCAACCAACATCAAAGAGTGGCTTGAATATTAATCATGTTTAACTAGTTTGTGTTTATCAGGCATTGTTAGTTGTTACTTTACTGTGGGTTTTGAGAATTGGCACGCAATGGCTCTTTTAATTGTGTGAGTGTTAGCAACTTCAACAGATTCGTTATGCTTAAAACCCTCCGTAATTTTATTTTTTCTGTGATGAATAGCTTACAGACTCAAGTTTTCCACTGATATGGGTACCATAATTTTCTCCAAGTGAACCAACTACTCATGTCTGATTTATCATATATATACTATTTTGATGCAGTGGGCATATTACTCATGGATATTGTTAACTGATTTAGGCATTGTTGATTTAATTTTGAAACCCCTAATTTTATAGTTTGTCTTTCAATTTCCTAATTTACATCTCGATTCTGTAACTGAATTGCACCCTCACCCATTTCATCTCCAACTCATTTCTTCGTGTAGCGAATCCCTCTTCAAGGTAGCAGAACCGCCAGTTTTACCACACTTTAAGCCATTGGATTATGTAGAAGTTTTAGCTCAAATTCACGAAGAGCTCGAGTCATGTCTTCCTCAGGATAAGGCAGATCTTTATCTTCTCCAATTTCAAGTATTTCGGGGGCTTGGGGAGCGGAAATTGCTTCGAAGAAGCCTCAGATCAGCCTGGCTCAACTCCAACACCATCCATGAGAAAATCATTTTTGGGGCATGGATGAAATATGAGAAGCAGGGTGAGGAATTGATTTCTGATCTATTGGCCTCTTGTGGAACACCCATCCAAGAATTTGGTCCGTTAGATCTTTCATCAGAGCTTTTTGTAGATAACACAAACCAAATGGATCAAAAAATTGAAACACAAATTGCAAATTGTGGCGTCCTCTCTGATACTGTTTGTTTTCGAATTGGGGATGACAAAATAGTTTGTGACCGAAAAAAGATAGCGAAGCTGTCGGTTCCTTTTCATGCCATGCTTTGTGGGTGCTTTGTAGAGTCTAGACAAGAGGACATTGATCTATCTGAGAATGGAATTTCCCCTGTTAGTATGGGGGCAATCAAGGAATTTAGCCAGATTGGACATTTAGGGGATCTACCCGTAAATATTTTGCTTGAGATTCTGATGTTTGCCAATAAATTTTGTTGTGAGAAACTGAAGGCTACTTGCGATAGAAAGCTTGCGTCTTTGGTTTGTAATCGACAAGATGCCATTGATCTTATGGAATATGCATTGGAAGAAGGAGCCCCTGTTCTCGCTGCTTCCTGCTTGCAAGTGTTCCTGCATGAGCTTCCGGAATGCTTGAGTGATGGTCGAGTCGTTAGGGTTTTCTGCAATGCCAATGCTCGACAAAGGTCGATTATGGTGGGTAGAGCTTCATTCTCCCTTTATTGTTTCTTAAGTGAGGTTGCAATGAATAGTGATGCTCAGTCTGATATGGCAGCCTGTTTCTTGGAAAGATTAGTAGAATGTGCATGCAATAGCAGGCAAAAGCAGCTGGCCCTTCATCAGTTGGGATGCGTTAGGCTCTCGAGGAAAGAGTATGATGAAGCGGAATGCCTATTCGAAGAGGCTTACAAGGCTGGCCATGTCTATGCCATTGCTGGCTTGGCAAGAGTTGGTCTCAAAAAAGGTGAAAGCAATAAGCTCGTATCGTATGAAAAGATTGGTTCAGTTATTGCTTCTTGTAATCCTCTTGGTTGGATGTATCAGGAGAGGTCTCTTTATTGCAGTGGTAGTGAGAAGTGGGGGGATCTCGAAAAAGCCACAGAGTTGGACCCAACGCTTAACTACCCTTACATGTATAGGGCTGCTACTTTGATGAGAGAAAACAATATCCAAGCTGCCTTGGCTGAGATTAATCGGATACTTGGGTTCAAGCTGTCCCTCAATTGCTTGGAGCTTCGCACTTGCATTTACCTTGCTCTCGAGGATTATAGATCGGCTCTATGTGATATCCAAGCGATTCTTACACTTAATCCTGGTTACCGTATGTTTGAGGGAAGGGTAGCTGCTTCTCAATTGCGCACCCTCATTCATGAGCATGTTGAGCATTGGACAACTGCAGATTGTTGGTTGCAGCTTTATGATAGGTGGTCTTCAGTTGATGATATTGGGTCCCTTTCAGTCATCTACCAGATGCTCGAGTCAGATGCACCGAAAGGCGTCCTTTACTTCAGACAGTCATTGCTTCTGCTTAGGTACAGAACTCTCTCTCTCTTTCTATCTAACCACTGGTCATCGTTTTTATGTGTTTATAACTTCTGGGCAGGTGTGTATTGATGTAGGAAATTTCTCTCTCTCTCATAGTTATAATAACTTGTCTTCCACAGTAAATTATGTTGTCTTGTGATTTATCTTGAGTTGGTTTTGTTAGATTGAATTCTCCAGAAGCAGCAATGCGCAGCCTACAATTAGCACGCAAGCATGCAACCAGTGAGCATGAGCGCCTGGTATATGAGGGTTGGATTTTGTATGATACTGGTCATTGTGAGGAAGGGCTTCGTAAAGCTGAAGAATCAATTAACCTTCAGAGATCTTTTGAAGCTTTCTTTTTGAAAGCCTATGCCTTAGCAGATTCTAGCCTTGATGCTTCATCCTCTGCCACAGTTGTCTCACTTCTTGAAGATGCGTTAAAGTGCCCTTCGGATGGACTTCGTAAAGGCCAGGTGAGTTCATCTTCATTCCTTTACCCCGTTGTTCTTATCATGCACTCACTTAGGTTTACAACTTTACATGCAAGTACACATCACAATTCATGCTTTCTTTCTTATTACAATTTTAATATTTTTTATGCCAATTTTTAGTGGAAGTAATTTACTGGAAATGGCTATTAACATGAATTTCTTGGTTTTTGTGTGTGTGCATTTGTCAGAAATGGTAGAAATTGCATGTTTTAAGGGCCCAGTCCTTTGAACCCCACGAGGACCTGTGATCAGATATAGTTCCGTTAGCAGATGAGATCTATTTTAATGGTTGTTGTTAAGATCAAGTTAGCCAGCAAGAGACTAATATGTTTGCCTAGTAGAAATCTTCTAACACCATGGTTGGGGTAATATGAAATTTTGAATTTTTCAACTCACTGGGTATTTGATAATATTAACTGCAAATGCATTTGGTAATTTTCCTAGGAGGGGTAACGTAATCTGATGGGACTTGTTGGAAAATACTTGATTGTCACCATATTAAATGAGGGCTGTCATTTTTTTCTTTCTTGGACATCTAATGCCATAAAGGGACTTTCCTGAAATATGCAGACACAAAAACAAAAGGAACCTTCCTCAATCTCTTAGTTGGAGCCCTAGGATTGCACATATTCTGGCGAGGCTGACAGCTTGATAAATGTAGGACATCTAGTTCAATTAGGATAAGGAAGTGGGAAGTGGTTGAAGTCTTTGACCTGGTCTAATTCCTAAGTTTAGAGGAGTTCTAATTTGTTAAAAATTTGGAGTGCCGCTGTTTAAAATTATTTTAGAGGAGTTGGTTGTCTTTTTTTTTAAAAAATTGGTTCAATCTAGAAGGTTGTAATTAGGTTTTCATTTTTCGGTCTACTGGAGTACTCTTACACAGTGCACTGGCTGGACAAACCAAAGAAATAAAAATAGGAAAGGTCTAGAAAGTCTTTTTTTTTCCTTTTTATGTGTGTGTAATGGCGACCACACCTCGAAGTATATATATATATATATATATATATATATATAGATTGAAAATCAAATTGAAAATAAAGAAATATGATACTCATATTGGGTAGAAAAGTATATGAAGATAAATCTAAATGTATAAAAAAATGGACTAAAATAAAATTGTTGCCTAGTTTGGGGGCTGATTCCTTTACCCACGTTAGAGCTATTCTTGTCCTTTCTGACATTACAGTAGAGCCACTTGATTCGGTGATGTTTAATGTGGATTTGTTCATCTGGTGTATGGAGTTCCCTTCTAGATTTTCTCCACATTTTGTTATTAAATTGTTCCTTGGAATTAGAGTTATTGCTAGCAATCATTTATCTCATGTACCTCTTTCTTTGACTATAACTCCACCTTGCCTGGCAAATCAAATACTCATACCTAGACAAGAGGGACTCAAAAACCAATTTTCTTAGTTGTTGAGGCCTCAAGGGGATATGATGTTATCTACATACGAAGTAGATGGTTGGAACTGTAACTGATGGATTAGATGATCTATGTTCCTAAATTCACTTTAGGAAAATCAGGACTTTAAGCATATGCGCTTCACAAAGGTTTTCGATAGACCTATTTGTAAAATAACTGGCATGTTATGCAAATATGCATTAATATGCATAAATATACACAAACTGGGACATACATGCACACACTTACTTTGCCAAGGCAGGGCAGGGCACTTTGCTAAGATCACATTAAACATGTCCACTTTCTTCTAGGAAAGTCCTATTTGGTCCATACAAGTGTCATAATATCTTCATCATGATTTCATGTACATAGTTCCAATACACTGGTCATAACATCATTCTAATATATTTTATTAATAGGGCATTTCATAATATTTTCTTTTGAATGACCGTCTCTATTATGGGGCATAACTTCTTAAATTTATTCTCTTATTTCTTGTTTTCTTCTATGATATGGGCAGGCGTTGAACAATCTTGGGAGTGTCTGCGTGGACTGTGGAAAACTGGACTTGGCAGCCGATTGCTACCTGAGTGCACTTAAGATTCGACATACCAGAGCCCACCAAGGTCTTGCTAGGGTCTATTACCTTAAGAATGACAAGAAAGCAGCATATGATGAAATGACAAAGCTCATTGAGAAAGCCAGGAACAATGCATCTGCCTATGAAAAGAGGTCTGAGTATTGTGATCGAGACCTCACCAAGGCTGATCTCAAGATGGTCACCCAGTTAGACCCTCTTCGGGTTTATCCCTATAGATATAGAGCTGCAGGTCAGATTCAGACCCCCATTTTACCTTCTACCAGCTCAAATTTCACAAAAAAATCTACCATGAATCCCGGACACAAATCCACCCCAGTTTTCGATGAATTTAGGCTATGAAACACATCCAAAATCATTAGAAATACATTTCTGCCTTGGATTCATCCTCTTGCAGCTCCAAAAAAGATGCAGATCTAATGAGTTGCGCAAACTTGAAATAAATGCTGCAAAAAAGAAAAGAAAAAATACATTCTAATATATATATATATATATATATATATATATATATTGATATTGCAAGAAGAAGTTCAAAATAGACCCACTTTTAAAGTTCAAATTTATTTATTTATCTCATGATCACCTGTGATCAAGATTATTGGCCCCTGAAATCCATCTCTTCGGCGGATTTTGGATGGTGGATACATATGAATCTTATCCTTTCATAAAAGAAATAGATGATGCACCCACACAACGCTGTTGTGTTGTATGCAGCCATAGCCCTGCACTAATGTGATTTATCAGATTTATAATAAAACATGATGTAGTAATCAAATTTCTTTTTCAAAATTTTTGCAAAATAACTTGGCGTATATAATATATGAATCACCAATATGCCGTGAGACTGTACGTTTCTATGTATGCATCTTCGTTCTAGTTTTTCTTTGGGGGTGAACCCCAGACTTAACTAATCATGGCTATTTCTGTAACTTGGTAATTGTGGCATCCATTATGGATAAACTTTTGATTAGTGGTGGTGAGGGGGGAGTCGAGGCTTCTGCCATGTGCTTGGTGCTCAAGGCATAAAATCATCATAATTCATAATCATCAACGTTGCTATTATTGTTTTGTTATTTTAGTATGAGAAAAGTAAAAGTGTGGTTACTTAGTGGTAGACTATATTCAAAATTATTAGATTGAAATGTGGTGTTTTCCTTTTTGGTGACTTTGTTGTAATGTGATGAGAAAGAAAATGGTGGGTGCAGTATTGATGGACAGCCACCAAGAGCAGGAGGCGATAGCAGAGTTGACGAGGGCCATTGCTTTCAAGGCTGACCTCCATCTCTTGCACCTCCGTGCCGCCTTCCACGAGTGCATAGGAGATGTGCCGGGGGCCCTCAGGGACTGCCGGGCTGCCTTATCAGTGGACCCCAATCACCAGGAGATTATGGAGCTCCATACGCGCGTCCACACCCAAGAGCCCTGATCCTCTCTCTCTCTCTCTCTGAAGCTCCAGGAGATAATGGAGTCTCTCTTTCTCTCTCTCCCCCCCTCTCGCTGTAAATTAGTGTCTAATGTATGGAGAAAAAATGGAGTGTGTAAAAGTGCTGCCTTCTATCCGCCAAAAAGAAAGGGTTTGCCTTTTGCTTGGCCCAAGTAGGTTACCTTTGTCCATATTTTTTCTTGCGTTTTGCCCCCAAGTTTCCTCCCTTGTATTATTGTTTCTTTTGGTTATTTTCCCATGCATATGGTTGTACCAGTATACACAAGAAGCCTCAATAGATCGTTCTTTGCCCATTCTTCTCGAGTAGTAAGGGCATGGTGCAATTTACAAGCAGGGTTATATTGGTCACTTTTTGAGAATAGGTGTGATTAATAAATTCAAACTTATAAACGAATGATGAGGCCTTATCACCTTTTAAGCATGGATTGAGAAATCGACAGTGAAATCATGCTATAAAAATCAGATGTGAAATTGAGTAGTTGATGACATCTTACGTGGTTTGAGAAGAATTATATTTTGAGTGAGGTCGATACTGCGCCTTGAGGCCCAAGTTTTTAGATCCTCTAATTTAAGGAAAGGATGGGAAATGTTCGCGAGAGCTGCTCTATTTTGAACAATCCTACCCATAGAAGGCCCAACAAGACGTTAAAAGAGAGAGAGAGAGAGAGAGAGATCCGGCATTGTGACGAAGAGAAAGTTAGAGCTGGCAACAGGATAGGCCCAAGCTCGGTCTAGGTTCTTATTGGCCTGACCTGGGCCTGGCCCAACTGAGCTAAAGGGCCCTACCCTGGCAATTTGTGGCCCAGGCCATAAACGCTGGATGACCTGCCCAACCCGTTGCTAGCTCTACTTTCGAATCCTTGATATCATTTACAGCATGCCATCATAAGCAACCACGAAAATCGACGTTCATTATTAGACAAATGCATTAAAGAGATTTTTTTTTTTTTCTTTTCATTTTTAACTGTTGGTAAAACCACATTCGAGGTTCTATTATGCCAACGACCGGAGATTGATTATTGGAGTTGCACCCATGAACAGTGACGTAACACGCTTGGACGCAAGCTGATCTAAGCATGATTATATAGGGTTTTTTTCTTGGGAAATATCAAGAACTCTATTTTATTTTTTATATTTTAAAATAATCTCATATATTTCAAATTATGAGATTATTTGAAATACATCAAATTATGCCAAAATTTGATGCTAATTTTTTTTTATATATACATCAAATTATGTTAAAATTTAGAGATTTCATTATTTTCACTATCATACACCTATAAAAATAATTTAAAATAAATAAAATAACCAAACTAACTCTCAACTACTCATGGGTAATTTTGCTGCTTGTTTATTTTAAATTATTTAATATTTGTTTATTTTAAAAACTATGAAAATACTACCTTAATCTTTTATAGGAAAAGTTTCTATACTTCCCCGACACCATAGAAGATCTATGCTTCTCCTACATTCCAGCCGTCCAATTTTGATTAAAAGAGCCACTCACCACCGTTTGATCCTATATCCGACGTCTCAAAGTATTTTATTTTTAATTTTTTTATACAAATTGTATGAATATGAAACTTGTATGTGTCATCTTCTAATTGGGGCACCCAGTGTTTAAAAAAACGCCGAGTCGAACCGGACGGGAATCGCCATGGACGGATCGAATCGGTGAAAAAAACAGGAATCGTCCGGTTCTAGAGAGAACCGGACGATTCTGCTCAGTGACTCGCCGATTCACTGTACGGAATCGGTGAGTCCCGTACAGTGAATCGGCGAGTCCCATACGGAAGAACAAATTTTTTTTTTTTATTTTTTATTTTTTATTTTTTTTTTATTTTGTAATCCATGATAGATTTTTTTGTAATACTTGATCGATTTTTTTTGTAATCCATGATCGAATTGTTTTTTTTTTTTGTAATCCATGATCAAATTTTTTGTTTTTTTTGTAACCCATGATAGAATTTTTTTTTAATCCATGATCAAATTTTTTGTAATCCATGATCGAAATGTTTGTTTTTTTTTCTTATAATACATGGTCGAATTTTTTTTTTTTTTTTTTTTGTAACCCATGATAGAATTTTTTGTAATCCATGATTGAATGTTTTGTAATCCATGATCGAAATGTTTTTGTAATCCATGATCGAAATGTTTGTTTTTTTTTTGTAATCCATGATCGAAATTTTTGTGTTTTGTTTTTTTTGTAACTCATGATAGAGTTTTTTGTAATCCATGAATGAATTTTTTGTAATCCATGATCGAATTGTTTTTTTCTTTTTTTGTAATCCACGATCGAATTTTTTGTTTTTTTTGTTTGTTTTTTTTTTGTAATCCATGATCGAATTTTATGTAATCCATGATCGAATTTTATGTAATCCATGATCGAATTTTTTGTAATCCATGATAGAATTTTTTGTAATCCATGATCGAATTTTTTGTTTTTTTTGTTTTTTGTAACCCATGATAGAATTTTT